TATGCATGATAATTTCCAGAGTCAAAACACGAGGTTGGTAAATTGACAGACGTTTCGCCAACATTGTAGTTGGTATCGTCTATACGAATGAGCCATTCTCAGCATCACACTAATACTCGCCGAAGAGACAAGTGAAATTATATCCTGAACAAATTTCTGCAGAAAGGTTTTGGTATCTCGCCTTATTCTTTCGTGCAATCACGTTTTATTATATCCTCGTATCACACCCTCTATCAAAATTTCTAAGTCCAATTGAGGTGTATCCATTCTAGCGGTTTTAGTGAGAACTACCTTCAACCTTCCTGGTTCAGTGCTTTATACTTTATAGCTGCCACCAGATATGTGATACTCAAGGCGTTATATTCTACACTCTGCCTCAAGCCTTTGATAGCAAATATACGCCAGCCCCACGCCCCTAAATTCTGAATACTCAAGTAGCATGGAAACCTAACTTGACACTAAACGTTGACTTATCACTGTTTAGCATGAGCATTCAGTAATTCTCGTGGACAGGCCTTTGCCTTACAGATCGCATCTATGATCAAACTCATGTACTAATAGCTAATCATCGATGGTCTCCTTTGTATCTCGCTTTTTAATCCATAATGCCTGGTCAATGGTTTTTTTTTCCTCGTTTCTTGGGTGCTGACCCCTAAACGTGATAGTTCTACTTGATTTGAATAGGCATATTATACACGTCTCCTTCATTTCCGATTTTTCCTCTGTTGTGATTTTTTCCTAGAATTGAAAATGCTTCCTTGATTTAGCCGTTTTCTTTTTACTGATCTTGCTGTTCCCAAATCTCCTCCACGTTTGTTTAGGGCGTATGCAAAGTTTTTACTAATCATATCTTCTTCAAGTCACCTATTCATTAGATTTCTTACAATCATGGTATCGATGGCCTCTCGCATCTTGTGTTTCCTTGTATTTTAACCATATGCAGTCAGTCTTTCTGTCCCATTCGTGCGATGTTTGCCATTATTTCGTATCTTTCTGTATCCATTTTTCTGCTTAGTCTTCGGTGTCCCTTGCTTTATAGGCTGATTTTTCTTCGTATTTCACCTATATACTTCTTCTTATAGTTTCGAAATTTGATACGATAAACACCTGGTAATCCAGTTTTTCAATTATCTCTTGTTACATCGTCAGGCTGATAAATGGGTTCTTTTTTCCTTTGTTTTTCCCTTCCCATGCAATGAGCCTATTCAAACATAGTAAAACTATCACATTTGGGGTTCGGCACAAGAGACAGATATTAGGAAAACATGGACTTTGAATTATGGATAGAGAGGTGCAGCTGATACCACCTGGAGTTGGCTAATATTAGATGAGTTTGATCATAGACGTGGTCTGCGAATTAAAGGCTTGACAAGGATATTTACTCACTGCACATGCTGAACAGCGATCAGTCAACATGCAGCGTAAAGTTATGTTTCCATGCTACTTTACTAATCAGGACTTGTGGGTGTTAGGCTGGCGTATACGTGCCACCAAAGGTTTTAGGAAGTTTGTAGAACATAACGCCTTGATTAGCACGGATATGGTGACAGCGATGAAATAAAATCACCGAACCCACGAGATAAGAGACGGGTCCTACTGAGCAATTGGGAAACTCTTATATGTCCTGGAGGACGAAGATTGCGAAATTAACGACAGTCTTGGATCACATCTCAGGGGGGTATGAAAGGACCAATGGGAAATGTGAATAGATCTCACTAAATTTGCTCAAATGGTCGCACACATTAAGATATTGTGATAGTGAAGGCGTGTTACGTCTGGGAATTTACCAACTCCACGTTCTGACTTCGGATATTTGCAAGCATGCTTTGGACTTCGCATAAGATGCGTTTCTCTAGGTCTCCCTGAAAATACAACCAAGTTGGGAATACAACTTTATAAGATAGCTTTTGAGAATATATTTTGAGAAGCAAGGATATGTGAAATTCAATAGAAATGTAGGGATTACTCATATCTTTCAAATACCAGTCATTCATAACCTCAATTCAATATGGCGAATACATCTAATCTATATCACCTATTCTTTTCTTTCTGTATAACTAGCCCCTCCAAAGTTGATCTATGACCCAAGCCTGGAATCTTCACGCCTGAAATTGGGAGAAAACCTCTGTCTAAACCTCAGGGTGGAGGGTCAGCCAAATCCCAGTCTGGTTTGGAGCCACTTCCCTGATACTCAGAAGGTAGAACAGGGTCTGCCAGACGTAATCCAAACGGAAGCAAAGCCGCCGGAGGATGATGGTACATACAAAGCGGCTCTGAAGCTACGCAAGGCGACCAGAGATTGCACAGGAGTCTATCGTGTGGTAGCGACCAACTCTCAGGGTCAGGCGGAGGCTAATTTTAAAGTGACTGTACTTAGTAAGTGACAGGCGTTTTGTTTTAGTGGCTCTCTATACCATGCTCAAAAGTTACCACAGTTTAACCTCTCTTCTATCCTCTGTCCTAATCATGGTTACACGGCAATTTCAAGGTCATCCTTTCTATTATATAAGGATTTATCGGATTTGCTACAAACCTGATTGTTTGCCTAACTTCCACCGATTGGAGGACTTAGTGAATTGTCACGTTTTAAAATCGGAGTAAGGGTTAAAATTTAAATAAGGGTGGTGGTATTGGTCATCAAAACTTTATGGCTGAGAACAGGCACTACTTTTCTATTCTGATTACCTTGATCCATCTCTGCAGGTTTCGTACATATACGAACACATACAGGAACCTACACGCACATTCACATGCTTCGAGTTTTACATATTGCTTGAACTAATCTATGCACTTTATACCCCATCAAGGAGCTTGGATATATATACAACATCTAAGGAGGAGTTGGTGAGTTTTCTTGACTTGTTAGTTTCAATAAGGTTGTAAGACTGATGTCATGCTCTGATGATGCGCGTCAAACGACGGACGAAAGCTTAGCATGTTTTTACTCGAATCAAAGGAGATTGCCAAAAAAATATTTTCAAAAAAAAGTTCACGTAAAGCCAATCGACAACTGGTCAACAGAAATTCGCTGTCGTCTTCTGGTCGGATTCACCTTCGAGTCTCTTCACCAAACACTCATTAGAAATGGAAGTAATTATGAACCAAGAGATTACTTGGAACCCAACTTTTTCGTATATACTATGTTTTCTATCACTCTAATGGTATATTGAGGCGCCATACTTTCAAAACTTAAAAAGTCTTAGTGCTTATCTGACACTTGCTTTCTGGGCTTAATTTGGGCTGAAATTGTACAGGGACTGAGCATGCGAGGGAGCAAGAAGAGCCTTATTCTCGAAGCAAAGTGGGTAAATAAATCGGTAGACCTATGCTCTAGCGTTTACAAAGTAGGCCAAGCAAAGGGGCCCAAGGAATATGGATACGTGGAGTCGAGGTGGGAGGAAGGGAATACTGGAAAATTCAGGTTCTTAAGATCAATAAACTAGAAAGAGCTGCAGGCGTGGGAATCACGATCTTGTGCATCGCTTAGAAAGTCCATCGCACAATGCTATCTGACGCTCAAGGCCAACTTTGTTGATAAATCCTGAAGCATAACGGATTTGGTGCAGGGATCGAGGGCTTATTGTTAGCCTGGGGATTGTCAATGACGGAGGGGATATCTAATACGATTTAAGTGAAGCTGATTGCTCAATACAGGTACAGTTTGGAATAAGTGAGTCCTGCAGATATAAAATTAAAGGTGATTACGCCCCACTGAATTTATCTAAAAGGAGAGACATACGAAAGAACTTATAACACAAGAAAATAAGGATAGACCCAGATCGGGAGAGCGGCCATATTAATTGGCCATATCACGATGCTTATTATTTTGCCAGTGAAAAATCTGAAGATTTGTCTATGCTTTAATAGGACATACCAAAAATAGGAGAGAATGCAGTGCGGGCTAAGTTCTTCGAATTGTTGAACTTACTTCCAATTCGAGTGAAAGTGTTTGGTGAAGAGATTCGAAGGCCGATTCCACCAGAAGACGACGGCGGATTCCTCTTGACCAGCTGTCGATTGGCTTTATTGGAACATTCGTGCTGACGCTGTTTCTGAGGTAATCTCCTTCGATTCTGGTGAAAAGGTGCTAAGCTTTCGGTCGCACAATGATGAATATTTCTCAAATTGCAGAAAATGATGGACAGAATGGATAAAATCCATAGATTCAGGCATGATAATAAGAGGATAAGAATAGCAGAAAAAGCGAAGCGATTCCTTATTTTGATGAGGTAATCATCCCAAAGAATTCTTATGACTTGAATAACGTTTCTAGATATTTGCACTAAAATGATTGCTTGTTTTAAGGGAAGATAAAGGTGATGCAGTGGTTATCATGGATAGGTTAAGTTATAGAGAAAAAATGATCGTTCATTTAAATGACTCAGAAACTTACAGACTTTTAGTGAAGGATCCCGTAGAGAGCTTTAAGGCTAGACTTAGTGAATCGCTTAACGTTTGGGTAAGCAGAGGAGAAGTGGAAAATGAATTTACTTCTTCAAAGGGATGTTAGGGCACCTTTGGCTTATAGCCTTCAAAAAATACACAAGGAAGGAATTCCCTTAAGATTGATTGTTAATAATAAGGGAACTGTAATTCATAGGATTTCATATTTCTTATCTAGACAGCTAAGGAAATTGGCTGAGTATTGGAAATATTCAATGAAGAATTCATATGAATTTGCTAAATTAATAAATCAGCAGAGTATTAAAGAGGAGGATCTTTTGGTTAGTCTTGATGTGGTATCAATGTATACTAACATTCCAGTTCATAAAGCTATTGAAGCACTAACACTCAGCCTAGATGAGCACCCAAAAATTGTTGAGGAAGCAAAGCTGAGCAAAAGCTTAATCTTAAGGCTTCTTGATCTATCCATGAGTAGCGCATACTTTACCTTTTATAATCAAAAAGCGGGTAAGATGCTAGCCTTTAAGCAGATACAACACTTAAGTATCTCTTATATATAACGCACTGATAGTTACGAAAGTTATATAGACCGAAGTTCTTGTTTTTTTGATTGTTATATAAAGTTCGGTCAAAACACTTTCCTACCAACCGTTTACTCGTAGAATACCATAACTGGCTTTGTTACTCTGGCGGTTTCATCTCTTTAAGTCTTCTCAATATTGCTCTGGGAACTAATACATAAATTTATTTGGCCTCATTGATTCATCAACCTAAAATCATTCTCTTCTGCCTGTTTGCCTGGTCTTTAGCTGTACCCTCAGAGCCCCTTCAGTTCACAGTCCAACAAGCTTCCAAGGCATCAGTCAAACTCCGCTGGCTAGAACCTGCAGACAATGGAGGCAGTCCGCTCGTCTCCTACGCCATTGAGAGAGCAGATGCGAGCAACTTGGCCTCAAGCCCGTCCACTGTGACGTATTGGCAATCGGTGACTCACAGCCTCAGTGTCTTGGAGGCAATGTCCGTCTTGGAGGGTGAGGAAAGATGGGCTGCTTTCGAGGTATCTCGCCTTCCTTCTGGCAAGTTTATGTTCTTCCGAGTGGCTGCACAGAACAAGCAAGGTATTGGTGTATTCGCCACCTGCGAGAAGCCTGTTTCAATCGGATCGCCACATAGTGAGAGCCTGTATATGTTTATTGATTTTTGCTTGTTAGGGCACCTCTCTAACGAAGATAAATGTAGCCGTTTATCTCATGGAGGATTTCTGATTCCTATTTGTTTGCATATTAGTCATCAAAAAGTTGCAAACTTCGCTTTTATCTTCATCTCTACTTGTTGTCATGCCTCAAAAGTAGGGTTATGGAATAAGAAGTTTTTTATCCTTGCAGTTTTTTAATATAATAAAAAGTAGTTTTTGTTATTTATCCTTCGCTTTTGGGGATATCGGATATTAATATAAATTCATGAGCTACACCATTTTACATATGACGTTTTTAATACCTTACCTTTTACTAAATATTGATATGCAAAATAAACAGTAGAAACTTAGCTGAGCATCAAGTAGAGACTAAGATAAGCAGGCTTCAATGATATGTCGGTACTGGTTTGATGAAGAGAGCAGATGAGATTGAGCCGTGAAACATCGCACCGGACCATCTCTTCATAGTCGCCTGGTCGTTACGATGCCTCCGAAGTCTTTTAAGCACTAAGTCTTTCCTAAGTAATGAGAATTTCTTTCAGACTTGCAAAAATGACTTGGACGATTACCGTGCATGGATAAGGATACCTTATAGGAAGCAAGGCTATGTGGAATTCATTATAAACGTAAGGCCTACATATATCATTGTGGAAAAAATCAATTATCAGTTTTCATTACCTTAAAAAAAATAGGGTAAATAAATTATATATATATGATCTACTGGTAGTCTCAAAAATCAACCTATAAATTAAAAATTGTTTTAGAAGTTGTTT